TGATGTTATGTGTGCTTCTGTGACAATTAAGCTTATTCATTGCATTACATTTATTAAAGATGTTTGTCTTTTACCCTTACGTGTGTGTTACAAATGAATGTGAATATGGCATAGGACAAATATTTAAAATTACTGTCTCATAAAAAACGATTCCAAAATAACAGTAAAATAAAAAGGACCCCAACTAGACAATAATACACAATCCAACTGATAAGATACAGTATGGGCTGTGATATCCAGCACTTTTTTAAAGGATAACAAAAAGTATGTGACCAACACATGTTACTTTACATATATATATCTGTTTGTTTAAAGTTTCCAGGTGATGCAGACAGACCAGAGGATGCTGAACACGAGAGACAGACCGAGATTCCTGACATCAGTGAACTTCAGCATGGACTCAAAGGTACAAAGACTCCTTTCATACTGTACAAAGAATCGAGAAACGTTCTGGTTTAAATAGATAAAGTAACAACTATAATACACTGATATACATGCCATTAAACATGACTAAATACTGACATCAGGGAAGTTGACTGTTCCTTCCTTGCAAAAAGTTAAATTTCGATTTTACCAAGTAACATGATTTTTTTTGTCAGCTTTCACATGTCAATGTATTTAAGGCAATTCATATTTTACTTTGTGAAAATTACTACCATTTGTCTCTACATATTGTCTGTAAAGACGTGGTAAAAGTGGTTCTTGCAGTGAGACAACCGAACAGCATGATTCTACATTTACACTAAGTTTTGATAACAGTTGAATATTATGTAATAATAACATGTCTAATAATGTTGATTAACTGCGGACTGTTCATTCATAATCTGATTATCTTTGTAGTACAAAGTGATGAATTTAAAAAACACATTAAAATAAAAAAATATATTATTTCTACAGCCGCTTAAAGGTGGGGTAGGTAAGTTTGAGAAACCGGCTTGAGATACACTTTTTGATATATTCCATGGAATGCTCTTAACATCCCGATAGCAATGAAGATCTTAAGTGCTTTGACAAAAAATCCATAAAAAAATGTCATCTGTGGAAGCCGTAATACTGTAAAAAGTACGACCAATCATTTTAGCCGGCCCGGCTAAAATAACTGGATGGCCTACCTGCCTGTCAGCCTTCCATCTGTGCACAAATTTATCTCGTGCCCTCATTGGTCATGTGCGCGTTCGTGTGTGTTGCAGGAGGGGCTCTATAAGGAAGTGGCAGATTTTCTCCGGTTGTATATTTTTCAAATTCGAGCGATCTCGAGCCTACCCCACCTTTAATAAACAAACACACCTCTTTCATAAATAACACACTTGCTCTGCAATAATGTCATATGTTTGATGTTTCTTGTCATTTCTATTAGGAAAGGACATACCTGAAGGACACAACTGCCTCACCGTTTTCTCCGAGGGGCCAGAAGAAAATGAAAAGCTGAGATTAAAGACCAATACAGGAAATTCACGAAGAAACTACACTTTTATTGTGAACACAATTCAAACAGGACCATCATTTTTGTGTGACAGCTGTGCCCAGTATGGGCTTATAGATGCAGTTAGGTGGTTTCTTCATCAGGCCTGGTCCTCCTCCCAGGGAAAGACCGCTCCACCTCAGTCCTCTCCAGCCAAACCAACAGACAGGACATCCATCACGCTGAGGTTTCTCCCAAAGTCTCTGCAGCTCTCTGGACACCAAGCTGTCTCAATTGATCCACACTGTGAATATGAAAGGGGGAAATGTGTGTAATAAATGCTTTAGACAATAAGAAATATGAAGTTAACTGTAAGGAGTGGCTCAGTTTTTTTAAATAAACAATACTATTACTGTATTTTAATATCTCACATCTGAGAGTTTAATTTAAAACAAGAGGCCCCAATAATAAAGATTGGTATATCAATAAATCTGTGACGTTTCGCTCTCTCAAAAGTTGGGCCATTTTATCATCATGCGCGAATGAGCAACTCTCATAGGAATGAATGAGGCCCCGCCTCCCACGCTGTATCCAGTTCTTATTATTAGGGCTGTCAGTCGATTAAAATATTTAATCGCGATTAATCGCATGATTGTCCATAGTTAATCACGATTAATCGCAAATTAATCGCACATTTTGTATCTGTTCTAAATGTACCTTAGAGGGATATCTTTCAAGTTTTTAATACTCTTATCAACATATGAGTGGACAAATATGCTTTATATGTTTGTTTATTATCATTTGAACAATGACAAATATTCTCATGAATATTAAACACAACAACCTCTGAACATTACAAATATTCGCCTAAATTCAACCTGGAACCTCTCTCATACAATAATACTGTGTGTGTGTGTGTGTGTGTGTGTGTGTGTGTGTGTGTGTGTGTGTGTGTGTGTGTGTGTGTGTGTGTGTGTGTGTGTGTGTGTGTGTGTGTGTGTGTGTGTGTGTGTGTGTGTGTGTGTGTGTGTGTGTGTGTGTGTGTGTGTGTGTGTGTGTGTGTGTACTGTGATGGATCGTTGGAGCTATGTGCAGCTCAATGCATATATGCTCGAATGGGAGCTGCCTGGACGCTGCATTCATGTTGCGCGCACTATCCGTGCTGAGTGTGCTGACTTTTCGTACAATGTCCCACTGTCTGGCTACCTGCATAAAGTCAAGTGCTCGGCGCAGTTGTCGGCGAAATGTCATTGAAACAGCTCCTTACAGTATATCCGTTAGCGCAGCTAGCTAGCACCAGATGCTAACAACAACAACAACACGTAAGGTATTCCTCGCTCGCGCGAGTCGCGCCACACATACACACTCCCTCCCGGTTCTCCCGATGGTCAGTCCGGGCCTGCCGGTGAGCGTGGAAGTGTGGTCTGCCACAAGCGGGCGACAGAAGCAGGGCTGCCTGTCAGCATCAGCTTGTAGATGGTATTTTACACTCGATGCGCTCTGAAACTACGGCGGCCGAGGACAAAAAATACACATGCGTTAATCGCGTTAAAATAATTAGTGGCGTTAATTTTTTTTTGCGTTAACGCGTTATTAACGCGTTAACTTGACAGCCCTACTTATTATACATCCATGGGTTAATGTTGGCACCCCCCGAAGAGGCTCAAACTCTTACGTTGACTCTGGAGTTTAAATAAATTCTAATTCATCAGTAAAGTCCACGACCATTATTTGGAGGGAAATGCTACATTATATATTTTAGAAACCTGAAGGCATTTATAGATTTGTATGCAAGTATTATCCAAAAAACTCAATACCTTAGATTATTATTGAAAGTTTTGCTGAATAGTTTCATGTTCACTTACCTTAAGCAACGTAAAACATGCAGACCGGGAGCAACAGACGTAGGTTAGCCTTATTTGGATCAGGCTGGAGTACATCGGTTACTCCTATATTTACTTACTGTAAACTAACTAATGCTAACATAACTGTTGGCTAGAAGTACACAGCTTAATCAACCATATTTAACTGGCCATTGTCCTCTCAGCCTGAAAAATCAATCACTTCAATAAATGGTAAAACAAAAAAGGAAAGGTTCTGGCTCAATTTCGGTTTAGTTAGCTTGTTAGCTTATTGCAGCTGTGCATGTTGCTAGCGGGTTGCTAGGCCACCTCACGAGCTGCGCCAGGTGATGTAAACAAGAACACCTCCATAGACCAGACTGTCTCAGTTTGAAAACTGCTCGGTCCAGGCTCCAGCCTACGGCTGCGGTGCTGTTTCTCTATAAATCCATGCTGAATTGGACCTTCTATTTCATTCTTCTTCTTTAATGGCGACTTCCAAACAGAGTAGACAATAATTATCGCCACCTACTGTATCACTGCAGCATTGTTCTTCGTTACTTCCGTTTCATTACAATGACTTCCGTTTCATTACAATGACTTCCGTTACAGCAAGAATCCCCCTCACACACACATAGGTGAAACACATGCACATTCCCTACTGAGAACCTTTCAGTAAAATGTTTTCAGTAGCGTGTGTGTGAGGTTAATTTTCAGTAGTGAATGTGAGAGGATTTAAATAGTGTGTGTGCAAGGCCAGATGTTTTCAGTAGTGTGTGTGTGAGGTGTTCAGTAGTGAATGTGAGAGGATTTCAATAATGTGTGTGTGAGGTTAATTTTCAGTTGCGTGTGTGTGAGGCTTAATTTTCAGTTGTGTGTGTGTGAGGTGTTCAGTAGTGAATGAGAGTATTTCAGTAGTGTGTGTGCAAGGCCAGATGTTTTCATTAGTGGTTAGTTTGAATGTTGGCCCCTCATAGTTTTGCATTCCCCCTGCTGACCATGAAGAAGAAGTGCTTACCTGAGCGGAGCGGGAGTTCCCTGCTGTGTAGCTGTGTACTCACACAGAGAGAAGAGGAACATGATCTGTCTGTATCACTTTGGTCTGACCTGTGTGTGTGTGTGTGTGTGTGTGTGTGTGTGTGTGTGTGTGTGTGTGTGTGTGTGTGTGTGTGTGTGTGTGTGTGTGTGTGTGGCGGCAGGTGGCTCTGTGTTTCTCTCAGTTGGAGTACACTGACGGAGCATACACACGGCGGCGTGCGTTGACGCTTGGCCGTGAGCGTGTCTGAAGCTTGGGGAGTTAACGCGAGCAATGCGAGCAACTGGATATATAAAATCCCCAAACAGGCGAAAACCTACCAGTTTCACCCACTGTCTCTGCCACCTCCCTCCATGCCTGGCTCCTCCGGTTTGTATCCCGGTAGGTGAACAGGGACTGATCATAAAGCACCGGGTGATTCCCTACCGCTACGATGATTTTGTCCTCCATTTTTTGGCACATGAGGAAATTAACTGCGGTATGGCTCTCCCAGCATACACGCGGTTTGATTGGCTAGCGCTTGTACTGGCAGATTTGCATAAACGGGATTTGATTGGCAGACGCTTCCGTCGAAGCTTCAAAAGTAGAACATTGCTCTACTTTTGAAGCGAGCAAAGCTACGCTTTGCTCCCACAATGCAGTTCGGCAAAGCGTGACGTCACCCCATTCAAAGTGAAAGGGCAGAAGCGTTGAAGCTTCAATGCACGCCGCCGTGTGTAAGCTCCGTGAGGGTCCACAGCAGGAGGTTCCCTGCTCTGGTGAACTGTACGGCCATCGACTGGTTCCACGAGTGGCCACAGGAGGCACTGGAGTCGGTCAGCTTCAAGTTCCTCCAGGATGTGGAGAAGATTGAAGTGAGAATAACTTTAATATACACACAGGGATGATGTTCACACTCCCAAACTATCGTTTCAGATTGTGATGACAATTATTTTTGAACAATAATACTGGAAACACAAAGAGACTCCTGGAAGCTGGAGCTGAGGTCTCGCTACACTGAAGGTTTAATTAAAAGCTCGGCCAAGGGAACAAACACTTCCATTACAAACAGAACACACTGTATGTGTTAGAAAAATATCACTCGTCACCGGCTTGGTCTTCAATATCAGGATAAATGTATTTATTATCCTTGCAAGAATGGAAGTAGTCATCACATACAAAGCTGCATGGGACAAAATAGTTCCCTGAATAGTGTCCTTGACATTCTTATATACAAGAGAGTGTTACAGTCACAAGATGGAGTGACATGACAGTCATATGCGTATCTCTCTAGGGGCTGTGTCAGCATGCCAATCTTAGGAACATAGCTATCATAACTTCAACACAGTGTCTCATGAGCGTCATCCATGTAATCATACATCCGGCGACGCACACAGTTACGTAGGGCCTCTGTTATCATGTGCTACTCTGATATAGAAAGAGAACATTCAGTATTTTCCCAACAGTATGCCACTGCATATTTAACTGACACTCAGGAGATGTCTACACTACATTAGGAGTGACATCACAGTGTTACTCTGCCTGGAGTAACCCAGCACTGGCCTAAGACGCACCTCAATATTCCAAGTCAACATAAAAGGACTTTCTAATACCAAAATATGTAGTGTATAATGTGCAAGTGTAATGTTTGAATATATTAATTTAGGTATATATTATTATATGGGAAAAAAGCTCAACACTTACGTAATTCAAATGTCAGGCACTGTGACACAAATAAAGGGATATTGATTTCAAGAGCAGACTGGAGTCCCTGGAAATTAAATCCAGAGCTGGAGCCTGGAGAAATATTGCTTGGAAGCCAAATATGCAAAGTCATCTTCTTTTAACGTGAAGGAACCGCTTCTGTGATTCCTCCCTCTGGCAGCCTCAGGTGAAGCAGTCGGTCAGTAAATTCATGGCATTCGTCCACACGACTGTCAATCACACATCCAAAGAGTACCTTGCCAACGAACGGTGGTACAACTACACCACCCCCAAATCCTTCCTGGAGCAGATCCAGCTGTACGGCAATCTGCTGCGCCTGAAAAGCAGCGAGCTGACCAGCAGGATGGAGCGGCTGGAGAGCGGCCTGCAGAGACTCAGCAGCACCTCCACCCAGGTACTGCTCACACACACTGAGCACAAGAACTGCACCAGAGACCACATGTCCGAAAACAAAACGTGCATTTATCTAACAGGTACGTTTCCCACAGATCTTATTTCCAGCTATTTTCTAAAATCCTATGGAGAAATCTCATTGCTTTTTTGTCGAGGGAAGCCACGCGCAGCTTACTTCCTGGTTTTAGGACGCGTCAGTGCAGCTCTCTCGTCTCCTCTTCACACACTTTTCACGGCACACGTACTTACAGCCAATCAGCTCTGAATTATGTGAGATGACGTATGGTGGGGATGGCAGCTCAGTGCCCCTATGGTCATTATTTTTTTGCCACACACATTAAATAGGAAAATACTCTGAGCATGCGCAGTGTAGTTTTTATAGTCACCATTCACTTAGACAGTGAGAGGGAGGGGCATGATCGGGTTTTGTCCCACATGGCTCTAAACAGCTCAATAGGCACACACTGTAGACACTAATTAGAAGAACACAGACTAAAACAGCAATGTACAGACGAATCAGATGATTAAACATGATCTTAAAATATATTTTATATTTATTTTTATTTATTTTTTTGTAATCATTATTTTTAATACTTTCTGCTGACACTAGTAGGTGCTGACACCTAATGACCAGTCGCCACTGATCACAGTAGTAGCATTATAATAATAGAGTATAGGCAGTGGGCTTTGTAACAGTAGTAGAACATGTACATGTAATAGTAGTTATAGTTATATGCAAGTATTATTGGATTGTGATGCTGTAGACTATTAATAGTACCAGTAGTAGTACTACTATTATTAGTGTTAGTAAGTGTAGTGCCAAGGTTTATTAGTCCTTTTAAATCCCAGGTTTGTATCCTTCCTACAAAAGAAGTAGAACAAGTATACCTTGTCTCCATACACAGCCATCCCCTTAATAAGCTATACCTGTCCGCTTTTGGCCTTCCTAAATGTTTATCTGCATCATTTGATGTTTCCATCTTTAATATCTACACCTGGATCCATTTGCCATCTCCACAGCTTTGCAGAAGACAGCTCTATGAATAATGCAGCACCAGGCCTGTGTGTGAGGCAGCCCTAATTACAGAGGCTCTGCACGCTGAAGTGAATGTAAAAACACACACACACACACACACTCATCCTTGCATATTGTGCATCTCCACTGCTTTGCATAAACATGCCCACCCGCACACAGACATGCACATAAACACATCAGTGACTTCAATTTGTTGAAAGCAAAAAAGAGTTTTACCCATCACTGTCAACAAACACACACACACACACACACACACACACACACACACACACACACACACACACACACACACACACACACACACACACACACACACACACACACACACACACACACACACACACACACACACACACACACACACACACACACACATAGGGTCTGTTTGGAGACTGAGAAGCCTTTTAATTAGAGAGCACCCCCTTTACAGCAGCCCGCCACCATTAATGCATCCTGTGTTTGTTAGTGCTCCCAGTGCTGCTTTAAGTGCTGTTATTTAACATTGTGTGTGTGTGTGTGTGTGTGTGTGTGTGTGTGTGTGTGTGTGTGTGTGTGTGTGTGTGTGTGTGTGTGTGTGTTAGCTTCCCTAGAGAAAGTGGTACTGCTCTGCATGAATGAGGTGTGAATGACTCGTAGTATGTAAAGAGCTTTGAGGGGTCGGACAGACCTGATAAAGAGATATATAAGTAGAGTCCATTTTCCATTGACCTTGTATAGATGGAAGAAACCTTGTTTTTAGGTTTTTTATACAATAATGTCACACAACATCAAAATAATGATGTATACTAAGGCGGAGATAACTTTTAGTCCAAACTTTATGTACTGTGGATTATTGTTTTCTATCAAAAAAATAATGCTTTTAAACAGGCATCATTTTGTTGTGCATCTTTAATATCTATAATCTTTAAAGAACAAAGCATTAAAATACATAGAGTAGAAATATGTGGTAAAGTAAAGAAAGTATACATTTAAAAAATGATTAGCCAAAATACAACTTGTACTAAAACTTAAAGATGTATTTTCCACTGCAGTTTTTGTTATGGAATTCCTTATCCAGATCTCCAGTCCTTGCAGAATATGACCCCCCCCCCCCCCCCCCCCCCCCCCCTGTTTGATCATCTGATAGGTGGATGACCTCAAGGCCAAGCTGGCTGCACAGGAAGTGGAACTCAAGCAGAAGAACGAGGACGCTGACACGCTGATCCAGGCAAGCACATCTGCTCCTTTTACACAGACTTAATAAAGATATTGGTCATTGTATCACATGCAGTGCACCAGTGATATCCAGCCTCGCAGATACCCGGTGTTCTGCTGCTCACGTTTTGAGAACTCTTTTGAGATTTCTTTCTATTTTCTGTACGGTAAACTTTCGTTGCAGCCAACCACATTTAAAGTTCAGAAGACCTTTATTCTTCCCACTTAGGGGACATTTACACAGCAAAGTGTAGATGGACACAAATACAAAACACAACAAATTAGATAAAGGGCATGCACCTAATAATTGGAATGTAAAATGTATTCCAATTTACAAGAAACATTTGTAATAAAGTTTTCCAATTGACGTACTGCACACAAGTGTTATTTCTAGGGCTGTCAAGTTAATAACGCGCTAACGCAAAAAAAAATGTACGCCACTAATTATTTTAACGCGATTAACGCATGTGTATTTTTTGTCCTCGGCCGCCCCGTAGTTTCAGAGCGCATCGAGTTTAAAATACCATCTACAAGCTGATGCTGACAGCCCCGCTCCTGCCGCTCGCTTGTGGCAGACCACACTTCCAAGCTCACCGGCAGGCCCGGACTGGCCATCGGGAGGACCCGGGAGGGTGTGTGCATGTGTGGCGCGAGCGAGACACACCTTACGTGTTGTTGTTGTTGTTAGCATCTGGTGCTAGCTAGCTGCGCTAACGGATATAAGGAGCTGTTTCAATGAAAACAGAGGAGCGACATTTCGCCGAGCACTTGACTTTATGCAGGTAGCCAGACAGTGGGACATTGTACGAAAAGTCAGCACACTCAGCACGGATACACACACACACACACACACACACACACACACACACACACACACACACACACACACACACACACACACACACACACACTTTGTATAGAGTGGCGAAGTCACGCCCATCTACTTCCGCCCCATGGGACCTTATTTCGGAAAAATAATGTATTGAAGTCAATGGAGAGAGAAAACGTATCTTTCGATCCCGTTTGAATTGTGCCATGAATTACACATATGATGTTTGTCAATCTTAAAAAATAATTTTCATGTCAAGAAAGTCACAGTTTGTCGTAAAACTGTTGAAATATAAGACTATGAAAAATACGTAACTAGAAAGACTACAAATCCCAGAGTCGCGTAAGTGATGTCACAATTGTTTTCCTCCACTAAGAGATAGCTAAAATCAGCGCCATATAGATATAATCTATCTATATGGCGCTGGCTAAGATAAGATAACTTTAACAAGATGCCTGTGTGCTTAGTACCAGGTTGTTATTATACCAGCAATGGGTCTTGCTCGTTCTTTCGCTTCCCGTCTGATGAAAGAACCAGCAGTGTCTGGATCAAGCTAGCTAGTAGCTAGCACGTTAGTTAGCATTACAGCCTTGTCATTTTTATTAGCCTTAACATGAAGTAACATTAAGTAACCCAAAATGTTAAACAGTAAGAGTAGTAGTCATATTTCGTGAACCCTTTGAAGAGTACTGTCACCGGTGTGATCATTCTATAATACACCATTTAAGCCCGGGGGAGAAATGCTAACGCTAACGTTAGCATCGGCGATCTTCTCTACTTCATGCTATCTGCACAAATGGTTGACATTAAACATTAAAACGACCAGGCAGTTCACAGAGAATCAAAGGAAGGCAGGCAGGCAGCTTTGCATGACATTCTTCAGGACGTGTTTCATTGTGGTGATAGTGAGGGTAGTCAATCGTTTTGTTGACAAGACAGTAGTGACGGCCATCTTGGTGACGTGTGTTGTTGACCAGAGATGTAGTTCATTGAGCGTTTCACACAAACAAATGTGTTACTTCACAGTTTTACGACACATTTTTTTTTTTTTGACTTGCAAAATTATCTTTTAAATTGACAAACATCATATGTGTAATTCGTGGCACAATTCAAACGGGATCGAAAGATAATCTTTCTCTCTCCATTGACTTCAATACATAATTTTTCCGAAATAAGGTCCCATGGAGGTCCACCGGAAGGGGAGGGACTTCGCCACTCTATTGTATTATTGTATGAGAGAGGTTCCAGGTTGAATTGAGGCGAATATTTGTAATGTTCAGAGGTTGTTGTGTTTAATATTCATGAGAACCTTTGTCATTGTTCAAATGATAATAAACAAACATATAAAGCATATTTGTCCACTCATATGTTGATAAGAGTATTAAAAACTTGAAAAATATCCCTCTAAGGTACATTTAGAACAGATAAAAAATGTGCGATTAATCGCGATTAACTATGGACAATCGTGCGATTAATCGCGATTAAATATTTTAAATCGACTGACAGCCCTAGTTATTTCACAACAGTGGTGTCTGTGTTTATATGTGAGGGTGGGGGTCTACCAGGGGCCATGATGGTTGTAAGGTGTGACTGCTGCAGAAAGGAAGGACCTTCACATTTTAAGTTGCAAATGTAGGGATCTTGTGAGCCGGTTTCTCGGTTCTTTATGTTCATCAATCAATGTTTTATTTATATAGCCCAATATCACAAATGTTACATTTGTCTCAGTGGACTTCACAGTTTGTACAGAATATCAATAGTTCATGCCTTGTTTGGGATGTTATTTATTGCATTGTGTCCATGCAGTGTAAAATAAGCCTCTTACTGAAGTTGTAGTACTAACCCAGGAATAAACCCTGTGTGTTCAGGTGGTCGGGATAGAAACTGAGAAGGTGTCCAAGGAGAAAGCAATAGCTGATGAGGAGGAGCAGAAGGTGGCGGCTATAGCTGTGGTGGTGAGCGGCAGACAGAGAGACTGTGAGGAGGACCTGCAGAATTGCTGAGCCGACGCTGCTGGCCACTTAGGACGCCCTGCACACCCTCAACAAGGTCACCCTCTCTGTCCTATTGATCACATTCTTCTCTTTGTTTTCTTCTTTTTTAAAAGGCCTTGGGTTCGTTCCTCTTTGTACTTTTTCCCAGCTTTAGCAGAATAAGTTATGTCCACACAGGCCAGCTTCAACTGTAGAACAGATAACTGAATCACAGGCTTTAACCAGGTCTTTGCTAAAAAAAGGTTTCTCTATGTTCTGCGGGTATTTCCCTTCATCTTGGCATCCCTTGTAGTCTTTCTAAGCAGCCTGTGGGATTTTCAAAAACACCCTCTGTGCTTAAAAGGTGCTCTGTTCAAACCAGCAGAACAGACAGTTCAATCAGTGCTCACAGCTCTCTAAAGATATCCTAATTAGAATTCTCTGTTTTCTTCGCAAAGTCAGAACAGGTTCTGCTTCCTTTAGTCTCATCTCATCCTTTATTTCACTCCGCAGCCAACAGCAGAGATATGTCGTTTTTAAAACTCAATTAAATCACAGCTCTTTCATTTTTAATCCATTATTCCCTCCATCTTGCCTTCTTCAGAACAACCTGACAGAGTTGAAGTCGTTTAGTGACCAACGTCACAGCCGCCGTCAGGGTCCCGAAGGATCGCAGCTGGAAGGCCGCCAAGGTGATGATGGCCAAAGTAGACGCATTCCTGGACTCTCTGATCAACTTCAACAAGCAGAAGATCCCAGAGGCCTGCCTGAAAGCCATCCAGCCTTACCTGCAGGTGAGCGGCCTGCAAGCGTCAGTCATTGCAGTTTATAAGTAAATATATATTAAGTTAGAGAATTAGAATGACTATCGTGACTGTGGCACAATATGGCAGTGTCCCAATGCCAGCCGCAGATTACCCTGCAGTCATTGTAGCGGTACAGTCGCCCTGATTCTGAAATGTAGAGGAGCAGAGGGTGGACAGTGCAGCTGATCAGAACAACATTCACAGACTAGTGATGCAACATCACTTTATATGTCTTATAAAGACATTTAATATTTAATAGAGATTTTAAACTAAAATGATGTTCACACATCAAACATCACACGACAAGAAATAATAATGGATTTAATTTAAGCAGATAAACACTGGCCGTTTCTCAATGTCGAGTAAACCTGCTGCAGAGCCACTATTTCAAGTATACTACGTCATCGAGTGGCGCCGAAGGACTGTTTAAATGCATGTTAAATGCCCAGCATTCGGCGCCACTCGATGACGTAGTATACTTGAAATAGTGGCTCTGCAGCAGGTATACTCGACATTGAGAAACGGCCAGTGTTTATCTGCTTAAATTAAATCCAAGACAATATAGAGAGAATCATGTTGGCGTTATGATATAAACAAGTCTGGATATTTACACATATTACTGATATTTGTTTTAACACAACTATCAATATTCATAAAATCATAAAATGGGGTTTTTAATAACTGGCACAACGATTGAGTATGTGCATTAGCTCAAAATGGGTATTGAAATGGTTTATTAATTAATTAATAATATTTATATAATAATTATTATAAAATGAGCCTTTAAACTGGTGTTGAGGATAGTTGACCTGCAGGGCTCGGGTCAGAGAGCAGAGCACGTGTTTAACCTCTTAAGGACAACGGTCCCCCCAGTGGACTCCCCCGACCGTTTTTTTTCGAGACTGTGTCTCAGGGCTTCTTAACATTTCTGAAACTATTAATGTGTAGCACCAGATTAACGGGAAGAATCTCAGCTAACTGAAGATATGAACCATTTTTACCAAAACAAAACACAAGAGTAATACCAAGCCTCTGAATTATCACTAAGCGAAAAAATGCTAACGCACTTAGCACAGAACTCAAGATAAAGATACCCTTATTATTTATCGTAACTGCACATACAATATATCCGATTAAAGCTGAGACTCCACAGATTATATAGGTATAGTATCATCACTGAGCGATCCGAACTCGCGACAGGGGAAGCAAACACAGACATCACAACATGTACCTTTACGGAGCTTTTACGGGAGATCGTCTCACCGTAGCTGTCAATCTGATCAAAAGACGTGTTCAATGGCATTAAAACGAGGAAAAACGCGGCTGAATCGGTTGATCCATAGGTTAATAATGTATCTGTTGCTTTGAAAAAATTATTTATAATCCATAATTCCATTTTTATGTAAAGATCGGAGAAAAAAAGTTAGCTGCTAATGGTAGCCAACAGAGTGTATGCAGCTTCCGGTTTTGGCCACGCGTCACTCTCACTCCCTATTTGTTAATGTGTTGGTGTGTGTAGAACTTACCTAGCGTCACCTGTTTTGATGTCCGTTTTTGCTTATAACGTCGCAAACACGTATAATTCAGTGATAATGTGGGTACCCATCGATTCTGTGTCACCTCACGATGTGAAACGATGTCATGGGTGTAGAGAAGAGATACATAATAAGTTTTTGTGAGTGATTTTCGGTGCAGTAAGGTGTTAGCATTTTTCGCTCGTTGCTAATTCAGAGACTCAGTGTTAGCATTGTGGGTTTTCTTTTGAAAAAAAAAAAATTATCAGTTAGATGAGTTTCTTCCCGTTACATGGATATAAAACATGCCCTCAGACACTGTTTCCTGCAAGATGTTGCGGCAGTGCCCCGGTACCGGGGTCTCTCGGGCTTAACAGGTTAAGCTGTCTGTGGCTCTTTCCTGCTGTAACGATGCACATTTCCCCTCTGTGGGACTAATAAAGGTATTCTGATTCTGATTCTGATTCTGATGGCGGAGTCGTCGAACTTCTGCAGGTGACAGGTTGCAGTGTTGTGGGTGAAGTCTGCAGTGTAGAGGGGGAAGAGAAACGGTGCCAGCACCGTCCCCTGGGGGGCCCCCGTACTGCAGAGTACGGGGGGATTGACACTCCTGGGTCCTCACGTCTTCAAGAACAACTCTATCAAACCCAGAAGATATGCACGACAGTTTGGTGCCACAGAAATCGAATTAAAACAACTAGAGGCCATAAGCCAAAGACTAAGCCAAACACTATGAATTAATCTAAAACCAAATCCATCAACCTAAAAAGGCTATTGATAAAAGCAGCTGTAAATAATAGTTTCTCTCTGGGGTTTGACATTCAGTCCTCAGCCTTCAGAGTGACGCTCTGCTGTCACTGAGCACAGAGCGGGGGGGATTAACCATCCTCATGCTAATCTACTCAACCTGCGTGATCTCCTGCCATTAATCCTTTTTGTCCTTGTGCTAATTGCTTCCATATGCCAATTAGATCTGTTGCGAGGGAATGATACGTTTTACTTTAAGGTCCCATGTCATTTTCTACTGATCATAATTCCATTGTTGAGGTCTACTAGAATAGATTTATATTGTGCAATTTTCCAAACTCACATTGGTTTCTCATACAGCATCTCTGTATAGTATGTGTATTCACTCTCTGTCCTACACGGGATCGGGTTGCTATGTCTTTTATAAGAGATTCTCATGTATTCGCAGCTAACGTTTTGTGAAAATGTCACACTGTTTCACATTTTACAATGTGGGAGAGTTAAGACTTAGAGTGGGTGACATCACGGCTAGAGGGGAGAGGAGCTGTCAAATCTCAAGAGGTTTTTTTCCAACTATTGCTGGGCTGGCCACAATTTTCACTTTTCATACATAATTTGGTGATTATAATGTAGGGAAATGTGTCACGGCCGCACCGATATGCGGCCGTGACACATTTTTGTCAATTTATTGAACATGTCAGAAACAAAACATACAACGATAATAATATATATTTGTTTCTTATAATATTAAATATAACAAAAAAAAACGTTCATGGTATAACATTTTTTAAAATAAAACAAATTCTCAAATAGACTCTGTCATGTTCAACAGGGGCAAAAAGAAGCTTAAAAAAACTTTTCTGGTCCTACCCCCTCTAGCGTACATTTTCCTTGTAAATAAAAGATTAAGTCATCGTCATCAGCGTCATGTTTGGGATGTTTTTTTAGTGTTTTTTTTTACAAAACAATCAAAAAGAAATAGCTTTTACAATTACAAGAAATAACAAATCTGATTGTACAGGTCCTGTTCATAACCATTAATGATTTGGCTTCTAAATAATAGTTTCAGTTTAGATAGACTTGTACAATATTTCAGTTCATCATTCCTGTTATTCCACAGACCAACACCTTTTGTTGTGATGCAATGAAGTTTTGAATTTGTTCATATGGGTGTTTTTTGAAAATGCAGTTTCCTCGCAACATGTGTATGTTTTCTCTCCGTGTGAAAAGTCCCATGATATGAGGTAATTGTTGATTTGCGGCTTTGAACATAATTTGAATAGTTTTATAGTCAACCAGGTCTTGTAGTTTTATTATTTTTAGTTTGATAAATAATTGATTTGTTGGTTCTCTGTACGTAGTTTTATGTATAATTCGTATGGCTCTTTTTTGCAGGATGAATATAGGATGTGTATTTGTTTTATATGTGTTCCCCCAAACTTCCACACAGTACATCATGTATGGAAGTATGAAGGAGCAGTACAGCATAAACAAGGAAGCTTGATTCATTAGGTCTTTGGCTTTATTCAGAATTGCTATTGATTTGGATATTTTGGCTTTGATATAACTTATATGTGGTTTCCAACTTAATTTATTGTCTATGATTACTCCAAGGAATTTTATTTCCGATACTCTTTCTAATTGGACGCCATTTATAGTGAGTTTCTTCTCTGTATTGGTTGATCGATTCCCAAATATTATGAGTTTGGTTCTGCTTGCGTTCAATGTTAATTTATTTTGGTCAAACTAGATCTTCATCCTGCTCAGTTCCTTTTCCATTGAGTCGTAATGGCCCCAAGACTGAGCCCTGAGGCACCCCACATGTAACCTGCAGTAGTTGTGATGTATGGCTTTGTATTTCAACGTACTATTCCCTGTTATGTAGGTAGCTGGATAGCCATGATAGTGCAACACCTCTAATGCCATATTTCTGTAGTTTCTTTATTAATAATTCATGGTCTACCATGTCAAATGCTTTTTTAAGGTCCAGAAATATCCCTATTGCATATTCTTTCTTTTCTATTGCCTTAGTAATGTGTTCCATAAATTCTATAACTGCAAATGATGTGGTTCTTTTAGCTCTGAAACCATATTGTTGTTCATAGAGTATGTTATGTTTGGTGATGAAGTCATTTAGTCTTGTATAGAAGATTTTTTCCAGTATTTTAGAAAACTGTGAGAGCAATGAAATTGGTCTATAGTTTGACAGTACATGTTTATCTCCAGATGTATGTATTGGTATGACTTCAGCAGGTTTCTTTTTATTTGGAAATACACCGGTTTGTATTGACTGATTACATATGTGAGTTAGCGGTTTGGCTATACATTCGATAATGTTTTTAACTGTATACATGTCAATATCATGACAGTCTGTAGACCTTTTACCCTTAAGTTTTTTAACTGTGTCAATAATTTCATTTTTATCAGTCCCTCTTAAGAATATAGTTTCCTTCACATAATATCTTTACTTTCTACACCATCACTACTACCAGTATTTGGAATTTCCCCAGCTAGACAAGGACCAACATTGTACAAGTACTTATTGAATTCTTCAGCAACTGAGGTCATGTCATAAATTATTGTGTTGTTTTTTGACAGAAAACTGTTTGGGTATTGTGCCTTTCCATTTCCTTTTTTAATAATGGTATTTAATACATTCCATTTGTTTTTAATGTTGTTTTTGTTATCCTCCAATAATTTGTTGTAATGATCCATTTTGTTACATCGTATTATCTTTGTTAGTTTGTTTTTGTATGTCTTGTATTTGTGTTCAGCCTCATCTGATCTATTCTTTAAGAAGTCTTTATATAATTCATTTTTCGTTTTACATGCATTTAATATTCCCTTAGTGATCCATGGTTTTTCAGCATATTTTCTTTCACTATTTTCTTTACTCAAGGACAATGTTTTTCATACAGCCCTGATCAAATATATAGAAATGATTCATAGGCTTCATTTACATCTGGTGCATACACTTTGTTCCAGTCTTATTTAGATAATTCTTCTTTAAGAGAATTAACAGACTCTGGTGTTTTGTGTCTGGTTATTTTGACTTTTCTGGTGTCTTTTTTTTATCCTAGTACAGTTCTGCATCGTTGCAAAGACTGGCAGGTGATCACTTGTGTCATTTATTAATATTCCACTTATTACTTTCCTATCCATAACAGTTGTGAATATGTTGTCAATGAGTGTAGCTCATGTGATGTTATTCTGGTTCTTCAACACTTGGCTCTTCTTGTGGGTTCAGCAAATCAATGTTAAAATCTCCACATACAAAGAGCATTTTCTTGCTGCTTGTGTAGTTATAAAGTTCAGTTAGCTTTTTCTCAAATGTGTCAATACATGATCCTGGTTTTCTATACACGCAGCTTATCAGAAGGTTTTTAGATTTTTCCATTTCAATTTCTACTGTTATGCATCCCATAATGTTGTCTATAGCAAAATACATATTACTGACATATCTACTTTTATAAATGTTGTTAATATAAAGTGCAGTCCCCCCACCTTTTAGAATTAGTCCTATTAGTAAAAAACAGTATAGTATTGTATCCCTCAATTTCAAGCATGTCAGCTTGATCTTTGATACATTTGAAATGAGGTTTCTGCTATTAAAATGTAATATTGATATTGATCCATCCATTATTCCATTTATTTTGAGTTGATCTTCTGTGTAGTATTCACATTGATTATGGATGTTATTGTAGAAATATTTTTTCAGGATCAATATCCTTTTCAATGTCTTGTGATTTATGTTCCGTGTATTTGAAACATTTCAAGTCCAGTTTTTCATATTCAGCAGGTGAGTGGTTTCTGTCCAAGCTTATCATGGGTGTTCTTAGTGTGTTAATTTCAGTGTGTATTCAGTTACCTTATGTTGAATTTGATGTTTCATTCCTCAAACGTATCCAGCTCGGTGATATGGGAAACTTTTGGCATGGCTGAAATTGGATCCTGGCAAAAAACGTACCATAACCTTCCGTAAGGACATAGACCATAGTCAGCTAACGTCTGCCCTCTCCTCTTCCCTATCCAGGCTCCATGCTGCACTCTCACTTGAAGAGCACGTGAACCGGTATAATAACCCGAGTGGTGTCTTCCCATCGCTCTGCCCCATGGTACACTGACCAGCTCAGAGCGCAAAAATCAGAGGGTCGGAAGATTGAGCGCAGATATAGGCAAACTGGCCTAACTGTCCACCTGCTCTCTTTTAGAGATCACCAGAAGGCCTATTCCTCGGCATTGAGAGCAACCAGGTCAGCCTACTCCAATCTGATTGAGACAAATCGTAGCAAACCCAAGCACCTATTCTCCACAATACATTGGTTGCTCAAGCCTAGTGATCCCTCATCAACCACTCCTACAACTGATGACTGCAACCGCTTTATGGAACTTTTTAAAAACAAAAATTGAAAACATCAGGCTTAACATCGCCAAAGCTTCCTCAAACCAACCTGTCTCTCCCCAACATCCTGTACTTGCTCCATCAAATGCACCAACCCTAAACTGCTTCACGGAGGTCACGCAAGCTGAGCTTTCAAAAATCATCTCAGCAATGACCTCATCTAGCTGCGCCCTTGATCCTATCCCCACCTCCCTACTGAAAGCCTGCTCTCCATCCATTATTCCAACTGCCACCATCATAATAAACAAATCCCCGTTGAGTGGTGAGGTCCCCCCCTCCCTCAAGCTGGCAGCCATCAGACCTGTCCTAAAGAAGCACAACCTGGATCCTGAGGTACTCACAAACTACCGCCCCATCTCAAACCTGCCTTTTTTAGCTAAAGTTCTGGAAAAGGTTGTTGCCCTTCAGCTTCACGAACATCTCCACACTCATGAGCTCTATGAAACCTTCCAGTATGGTTTCAGACCAGCTCACAGCACTGAAACAGCTCTGGTCAGGGTTCTAAATGACCTGCTGATGGCGGCTGACTCTGCCAAGCCTACTCATCTTGCTGGACTTAAGTGCAGCATTTGACACTGTTGACCATCGCATCATGTGTCGGCGACTCCAGGAGGTGGGAATCACTGGCAAGGCTCTGGACTTTTTCCACTCGTACCTCACAGGAAGACAGGAATATGTCCGTCTTGGGAAAAGCACCTCCGACACACACTGTGTCACCTCTGGTGTACCCCAAGGGTCAGTCCTTGGGCCACTGCTCTTTTTAATTTACATGTTGCCCATGGGACAAATACTGAGGAGCCATAACATCAGCTTCCACACATATGCCGATGACACACAGATTTATTTCCAAACTGCCCCGGATAAACATCTGGCACTTTCAAAAGTCTCAAGATGCCTGGAACACATACACCACTGAATGAGCAATAACTCCCTCCAACTAAATAGCAGCAAATCAGAGGCCATTCTGATTGGAACACCACATCAGACACAAAAAAATGATATCCCTCATATCAGCATTAATGGTGTAAGAAATTAAAATCAATGTTGATATGGCGTGATTTAAATTAAATATAGGGTTTTAATTTAAAGCAGTTTTATTCTGAAAAAAACGGAAGTTCACACTAACTATTAACTTAACACTATATTCTGAAAATGTTTCATTTCCGGTTAGCATTAGCATGTGGCTAACATTTTGAAACCGTGAATTGAAGGTGAAATGACATGTGATGTTGTATACTAAACACACTGGGATTAACACTCATTTATTGACGCTGAAATAACGTTTATCAGGGAATGTTTAAATAACCACAGACATCAGAATGATGTAATTTAGCAACAGAAAAAGGCAGGAATTGCATTGGACATGGACGCCGGCCAATAGGAGAAGACCACAGATGACAACAGGAAGAGCAAGCCAAGAATCGACCTCTTTTCCCTGACCTCGGCTGACGGAACACACACGCGAGAGACAACGAGCGGAATGGGGAGAGCGCCTCCAGCTTGCATATTTCATTGTACACCACCGCATCTTTTGTGTAATTAAATGCTGTTGACTTTTATAAGCTTCCCTTGACTCTTTTCAGTCTGTCCTGCTCTCAGGGTTCAAGAATGACTAACATTTGGCGTCCCTGGGTGGACTCTGAAGCGGGATGGAGCTGTAAAAGTAGGAAGTCTACAAGTTAACTAGCATCACACCAGGCTGCAGAAAAAGGAGGTTTTGGCTGGCGTTTGCACAGGGCCTAAATAAAAGGTGAGACGGTTACCTGTTTAATTCAAAAACTGTATAGTTAAATAACTTACATTAGGTGCAAGCGTTGGTAGTGAGTTGTAGATTGATCTGTGGTGTGGAGATTGTATATAGTGTTTCTATTGTCTCTCTATTTTATTTTAGGCGCCGCCCGATTAATGTTAATATTATATAGTGTTAAAGACCTTTGGGAAGGCACTAGATGTTATCTGGTTTACATTGGACTGGCTCCAAATAGTGTTAAGACCTCTGGGGATAGGTATTTCACTTGATGCATTAAACTGGACTGGGTCCATTCATGTTAGTCTATATGTTTGATGTGTTAAACCGGCGTAGTCTGGTTTAATAAAGTCTATTGTGTGAAGTTTTTAAGCCAGAAAGTATATTTTTGTGTGATGTTCTAAGCCGGAAAGATTGTGAACAAGATTGGTATAAGATCAGCTTTTAAGGTCACCATCTATAGAATTTAGATGAATGAAGATTGAGTTGTTTTGTATTGAAGTTTGGTTTTTCAAGCAGTGTGGTTTTTTATCTGCACATGCTGTGTTCCCATTGTTTCATAGGGTTAGGGTTAGGGTTAGGGTGTGTATAGGTGACTGTTGTAATGAATATGCCGCCAGCAAAGGGCGTTGTTGGACAAACAGTAGGTGAGTGTGTGTGTGTGTGTGTGTGTGTGTGTGTGTCTGTTTGTGTGTGTGTGTGAGAGTTGATGTGCCGGGCAGACAGGCGGGTCTCAGTAGCTTAACGTGGACCTATCATGCTATATTTAAATCATATATTGTAGGGCCATACCTATATAAGGTATATTTATACGTTTCTGTTTTCAAAATACCAAACAGATCATGCATTTTAGCCATGCCTCATTTCGCTCTATGTGCTGTTTGCTGTCTACGGGTCTGATTCTGCTGACCACGCCCCCCTGCAGGAGAGGTGAGACGTGCTCTGATCAGCTGCTGGGCTGTCAGAAGAGGGGGAGAAAAAGAGATCTCCGTCCTCCGTGTTTTATTATATAGATTCGTTATTCATTTGTTTTAAAGCTCAATAAATAACAAAGAAGACCTTTGACCGGCACTTTTCAAATTTTGTCGGGAAGATTTAAACTTTAACGGACATCTTGACCGGCGAAACAAACAGAAAGTGAAACTCTGCCGCACGGTCCCCTTGTTCCTTGGAAGAGGCGGAGAGGTGGGTGTTTGTCATCTGCTGGTGGACTAACCGGAGAGAATTACAGTGCTTGCCTCGACGGGGAGGGATTGCATTGCAGCGGGAGCAAACGCTTGCCTCGGGGAGGGAGAAAAAAAGCCACAGCGGAGAATAAACAGAAGGGTAACCATGGTAACTATGGGCGGGAAGTCTTCTTCGCTGCTATTGTGGCAGACTACAGCGCAACTTACAGGCCTGGCATATGTACTACAGCGTCTCCAGCGCTTTCGAACGGCAATGGCCGTGGCTGTCTCCTCCTGATTGGTGGAGTTGGCCCAATAGCTGTAGCGCCACCGTCCTGACGTCAGGACAGTGTTCAAATCTGGATCAGTTTTTATCAGATCCGTTGCAGCCCCTTATTTAGAGATTTGGGTATGGAGGAAAATAGAGAGGGTTGTGTTTTCTGACACTTGGTGAGTTCCCTGGAACACCGGGGACACATATTCATGTATAAAAGACGTACAAAAGTGCATTTTGCATGATAGGTCCCCTTTAACCTGTTAAGCACCAAGCCTGTTTTTCATGTTTCAGGCTCGAAAATGACATGCCCAAAACAAATGACTACAACTTAACTTCTAAAAGGGTTATATGAATAATTTATTTTATCAAAGCAAGGTTACATCTGTGAGTTGGATGTAGAAGTGTCAGAATCAATATAAATGTTTTTTATTTTAAAGAAAATTCAGATTTTACATAGTAAAAAACTGTAAATTATAGTGTCCGTCCAAAAATTATTTTTTACAGATAGTGAAAACTACCCTTGGATGATGGGTTAGTAGACTAAAAGCTTTAGGAATCCAAAGTACAACATATAATAAGTACCCTGTATCAAGATTGATGCAAAACAAGTGACATTTGACCTTTTTAGAGAGGTTTAGCCAAAACCACCCCACCTCTGAGGTGATTTGGGTGAAAATGTTTTTTTTTCCATATCTCTGGCCCCCCTTGGTCGATTTGGATGGTTGACACCTCTTTCTGACCGTTAGAGCCAATAGAATCGAAGGGGGAGGCCCCCATACACACACGTTGTGAAGAGAAAAGGTGGGGGCTGCGCGCATGTAAATGTGCAGCAGAGTGAAGCGATCTCTAGCTCTGGCATTTGGAAACGAAAAAGCAGTTTTATTGCTTATGGATTATCAGAAATAATTTCAAAGAGGGCACAGATACATTGGATGAACCTATGGATTAACTGCAGCATCGTTTTTTTATCGTTTTAATGCCATTGAAGACCAGTTTTGACCAAGGTAAGCCATGTTAGCGTTTCTAGCTACCTAGCTCCACATGTTATGATGTACGCTTTCGTTTATAGCGTGCAAATGTTTATCACTGAGTGTTGAGGTTTTTTACACAGATTCTGTGTCTCCAGGAGACCAAAAACAAGTGGTTGGCTGTGCATCTAGGATAAGTAATAAGGGAGTTATTGTGAATTTAAGTGCCGTTTTAGGTTAAAATTTTTTCGCGTGTGGCTAATTCAGAGGCTGAGTGTTAGCATTGTGGTTTTTTTTTGGATTTTTTTTAAAAAAAAGATCAGTTAGCTGAGTTTCTTCCCGTTACATGGATATAAAACATTCATAGTTTATTAAATATTAAGATTCCTTAGACGTTGTTTCCTGCAAATGACGCGTGTATCCGCCCGGTACCGGGGGGGGCCGTGCGTAACAGGTTAAGGTAGTATCTGACATATAAATGGTCAAAAATGGTACATTCTCCGTTAGCTTACGAGCTCCATGTTCAAGCGATCAACTATTCCTTCGCAATGTAGCATCACATTGGATATGCGCTTAAGTTGCCCTAGATTGGAATTTTTCCGATCATTTCCTTATGACGAATTAGAGAAAATGTGCTTAAAATGCATGAAAAACGCACATTTTTGAAAATGGCCGACTTTCTGGGGGGCGGGGCTAATAAAAAGCAATTTGAAATATGTGTGCAATCATAATAGCAATGTGTATACAGCGTTTCGTGAATATCGGAAAAACTATATGCGAGCAGTTTGGAGCAATTTGCGACATGTAAATCGTCAAAAATTGTGTATTCGCTGTTAGCTTACAACCTCCACGAGTGATTTTTCAAAAATGTGCTCCTCAATTAAGTATCATATTGGATAGGGGCTGAACTTGTCCTGGATTGGAATTTTTCCGATCATTCCCCGAGGAGGAGTTCGCAAAAATGTGCTTAAAATACATGAAAAACGCAAATATTTCAAAATGGCCGACTTCCTGGGGGGCGGGGCTAATGGAAACTATTTACAAATATGTCCGCAATTCCATGAGGAATGTCTGTGCCAAAATTCGTGAAGTTCTGAGAAACTATATGTGACTACCACACAATAGGGGCGCTAGTGAGCAGTTTTTTTGAAAAATTACGTTTCCTTTTTACATTCTCGAAAAGGTCGTGGGCTCTGACGTGTGTCCCAAGCTCTTTTTTTGCTATCGCAATTTAAAAAAAATGTATAGGCCACGCCCACATTCTGAATTTGTTGCGACACTTTAAATCTCAGTTCGTAGTCACCCCGAGAGTATGTGTAAAGAAAAGAAAAAAA